GGGGGGGGGGGGGGGGGGGGGGCGTACTGCCAATTATGGGCTGTTTAGGTATGTGTCGCTGTGAGGGGTATGGTTTTCAAGCAGTTTATTCTAGGATAGGGTATATAAATCAGAACATTTGGGCCTAGAGTAGGGTATCATTTTTTAGGAAACTGATCAGTTGGTTGAAGATTTTATCTAGACCAGGGAAACAGCTACTCTACGATAGGGGGGATTTGGGAAGTTTACTCTAGTATAGGGTAGCAAAATTTTGCTGAACTAGCTCTGGTATAGGTTAAGGGTTCCAGGGTCCCAGCGGCACATCCCCACCCAGAAATTCCTAAAGCACCCCACACCCCCGGGGAAAAAATGGCCTTGCAGAACAGAATGCATCGGCCCCCATCATTTGAATTAGCATTCCCTTTTTGCCTAAAAAAAAGTAAATTAAACTAGAGTCAGTTGTGAACACATAATTCGGTTCACGAGAGAATGATCTCTCTTGTTCGGTTACATTTACTGGAAAAGTGGCACACTCTCGCTTGCCAACATTTAGGCCTGTTTCACACTTTTTTATGATTCCGGGTGGCTTTTAAAAGGTCAGCTGATGTTAACACGAGTAGCCACGCCACGTGGTTAGTGCTTGAGCGCAGACAAAACAAATTTTGCGTTCAAGACACGTCATATACTACAATTGACAGGAAAGGAGACAGGCCGACCGTTTCATACCCTTTGTAAAGGTAAAGGCGCTAAAATGTGCGTTGTTCATGACAATCTTTTACAACCGTTCTCAACGTAATTCCCCTTGGGATATGTTGTCACTTTTTCTCGGAAATGAACTGGGACATTTCCACTTGTGACAAACAAGATGGCGGATGATGTTTTGGCAGAGAAAGTGTTTATTTATATTTGCGATAGTGGTGGTTCTGTCAAGCTGTCTGTTCTTTTAAAACAATCATCGCCCTTGGGAAGTAGGAAATCAGAGTTAGAAGCGAAAAATTGGCTGATGAGTCAAGCTGATCCGTGTTTAGTCGTCGTGAAAGATTTCAATAGCAATAGCAGGTGTGCGAATTGACCTAAGAAAAATATTGTCGACAATATCACGAGAAAGGTTCTTGTCGAAGTTCTTAGGGAAGGTGTTCTGGGAAGGAAGTTCTGGCATATTTGTAAAGGATTTATGCAAGAGAACTGTCATGGCAAATGCAACCACTCGAACAACTTTTTGACCCGGAAAACAGCGAGAAGACAAAGGAATTTGGACTGGCTAAACATCCGAACGGAACTATCAAGAATATTGTTGTGTGAAGCCTGCCACAGATTTGCGAGGTGTACTAACAAGAGGCAAATGTACGTCGGATTCATGCTTATACCTTCACTTTTGTTCTCAAGTCGTCCGAAGTTCAGCATGTTCTTGTTCTTTGTCACACAACCTCATGGATTCTCACAACATGAAGATTCTGAGACAGTATGATGTGGTACCTTATCAGTCGATGTCAACAGATTTTGTTCTTTGCAACACTTTGGTTCCGAAGAAGCAGTTCTGTACAAAGTTTGTGAATTTTCACCCGAAGTTTGCACCTTAGATGCAGCGCTGGCAGTCATGCAAGATACTAAACCACCGCCATCCGCCTGAACACCACACATTGTACAGTGAACTGAAAAGTAAAAACAGTATGGTGTCAAAATGATTTTTAGCCCGCTAGAAATGTCTCCATTTATGGTCAGCGAAGAGAGCCGCGAGGGGCGGAGGAAAGGAGAGCTTGCAACGATCTCTTATAAATTTTCATTTCTGCTTCAACTGCCCAAACGAAGCGAAATGCCATTGGCGACCTTTCTGGCTGCCCCGTCATAAATGCTTGCCGAAATACGATGCTTGGTATGGATGCTTGATGGAAATCGGGGATATATAGAATAACTGACCTTCTGTGCAGACTATAACTGTTTAATTTCCATCAGTCTATGCCTGTTTACATAAGTGAGCTCACTAGAGATTAATAACAGTGTAATATAACTTCTTCTCAATTTAATTTTTGTGTCATCGCTAAATGAGTCTATTTACCACGTACTGGTGTTAATGCTACACATTTAAATTTTTAAAAAAATCTAACGTATTTGTGGCTATTTGTCCTGCAACCTCATGTAGTCTACGCTCAATGAACTGATGTGTGGTCATTGAACTACTGGTGTGGTTATTGAACTGTTGTGTAGCTATTAAACTAACGATTAAAAGCTACTAAACTCTTGAAATATTCAAGTACTATTATCATCGACATTTTAGCTAAAATCATCAATTAGTCTGTCACATCTGGGAGCTACCATTCAAAACTCAAAAAGGCTTAAGTCACACCTCTGTTTAAAACCGAGGATGAGACAGATGCAAATAACTATAGGCCGATTTCTCTCTTATCTAAATTTGACAGAATCTTTGAAAAAGTTATGTATAAAAGAATGATGCATTTTATTAATGTTAAGAATATTTTGTTTTCAGTTCAGTATGGGTTTAGAGAAGGGTTTTCTACTGAACATGCCATTGTAGATATAGTTAGTGCNTCTAAATTTGACAGAATCTTTGAAAAAGTTATGTATAAAAGAATGATGCATTTTATTAATGTTAAGAATATTTTGTTTTCAGTTCAGTATGGGTTTAGAGAAGGGTTTTCTACTGAACATGCCATTGTAGATATAGTTAGTGCCATTCAGTCTAATATGGAGAAACGTTTATTTACCTGTAGAATTTTTATTGACTTAAAGAAAGTCTTGGATACCGTTAACCATCAAATTCTTCTAAATAAGTTAAATCATTATGGTTTTCGTGGAATAATTAATAACTGGTTTGAATCCTTTTTGTGCAACAGATCACAAACACTAGAAATAAACAAACAATTATCTGACGCAGCTCTAATATCTAATGGTGTTCCACAGGGGTCTCTACTAGGTCACTTGCTTTTCCTCTTATATATTAACGATATTCATACTTGCTCTGATACTTTTAATTTCTCCCTCTTTGCTGATGATACTAACATACTGTATGCCAACAAGAACCTCAGATCACTTGAGGCAACAGTAAATTCTGAGCTTAAAAAAGTTGTATCTTTGGCTGGCCTCAAATAAATTAACCCTTAATACCAAAAAAACCAATTTTGTTATTTTTCATCCTTATCAGAAGTCTGTTGACTACCTTCCCCAACTTAAGATCTTCGATACTGATACCAATCAATACGTTAGTTTAGAAATGAAAAATTATGTTAAATATTTAGGCATTCTGATTGACAAAAATCTTTCGTGGAAAATACGCATTGACAATGTAGCTGCTAAATTAAGTAAAACGGTTGGTTTAATCGCTAAATTGAGGCACTTTGTTCCTCAACATACCTTGCTAAATATATACCGTGCGTTAATCTTGCCTTATTTATCTTACGGTTTGATAGTTTGGGGGCAGGCGTCAAAAACAAATTTAACAAAAATCTTATTGCTTCAGGAAAAAGTTATCCGTTTCATACTTTCTGCCAACAGGAAAGTTCATGCCATTCCTCTTTTTATTGATGCAAATATCCTGCCCGAGCGGGTGCGATTTGCCCATCTTGCCCACAGGGGTAGCCAATCAGAACACAGGAATTGTTTCATTTTGCCGACTCGCGGATTCAGCCATATACTAAAATCGCCTATTGTTACTTCCTTGAGCTTGGGGACTGTGGACGCACCCTTCATCTCTTCTCCGTGTACCAGTGACCTTCGAGAAAAGTTGCACCAAGACATGACTTGAACAATGATGAAGAGGACCTTTATATCCGATAGAAGATCTCCTTACGGACACCATTTGGTCTTGATTCTGGCAGCTCTGAATTGCTGTCGCAGCCTAGTCCCTAAGCGTTCTCTCTTGTTCCGTTATCCGCGCGAAGTCTCGGAAAGGGCGGGCACCAAGGGAACGCTCAGGGACTAGACTGTGTCTATCCCATTGCTGTTTGTATTGGGGAAGTACCATTGTATTACAGCAAAAACCCGTGCTGCGAGAACCTATTGGTGTAAGAAACTGCTTGCAGAAATTTGCCATTTTGGTACACCCAAAAATATAAGAGCCTGTTTAGCCAAGTAAGATCAAACAAGTTCTTATATGTGGGTTCCAGTATGAAAATATTATGATAGGTATTTCAACTAAGGAGTTTATTTTGAACTTGAGATTGCAAATTTATATTACAAAGAAAGTACTTTTTTATCAACTAATTATTTATTTATTTTACAGTAATTTTTTCCTATGCTATTTTTTTATGGAAACAACACTTAGTACAAATATACATTCTGTAATCAGTTTCGTTAGAATACAGTTGTGAATAAATACTCTACTGTATATTTAAAGACCAAAACGAGATTTATTTATTCGGAGGGCTACAACTAAATCTCCTTCATTGAAACTAAAACCCTACCGAGCCTGAGTTGCCAATAACTACCCCAAAATACAAGAACCTTTTATTTCCTTCGGCCAGAGTTAAAAAAAATTGTAAGTTCTTACACGCGGGTTTTATGACAACATTAAGCCGAGGTAAACCAGACAGTAGACTGCGAGCAGTCTCTCTTTTTCTTCACATACAGTTACGCGCGTGGTCATTTGCGTATATCTTGCGTTTTGCTGGACGGACCAAGAAAAAAGAGAGACTACTCGTAGTCTAGCCAGACAGAAGAAAAGAAACAAAGTGACTTTTTGAAAATGAAATGATATTTTTTTAAAATAGAATTTATTAATCACACAAATATACTTAGATAATAAAATAAAATAGCTAACAAAAACACTGACAATACAAAGTTAAGTAAATAAATAAGCAAATTGATAAATATTGTTCATTACAACAATTCCTACTAATCACTAAGATAACAATGACACTATATCACATATGAGCACTAGTCACTCCTAAACTAAGCAGTTATGACAAATAGGAATTACAAAACAAAATTCTTAAACTACAATCTTGAGTTAACCACTTCTTCATACTATATCTGACTGCCCGAGATTGAAAAATGCACCAGTAAAATGTTTAGGCCGTACTTGATATTAAATAATTACAGAAAAATCTCAAATCATATCATTTGGCTCTTATCTGTTTCTGTTTCTTCGTGTTACGGGGTGTATAATGATCTAATGATCAAATGTATTTATATGACTTATATAGCCGAGTTAACACGTTTAAAATGTCGAATTTGGTGATAAGTACTAACGATCTAAGGAGCTGCTTTAACGAATTTAATACCTAAAAATCTGAAGACCACTTTTCCGGGTCTTTCAGGAAGCGACGTGGTAAGTTTATTGCAATATTATTATATTATCAGTCACAAAAGTGTAATCTTGAGTTAACCACCACTTCATACTATATGTGACTGCCCGAGATTGAAAAAGGCACCAGTAAAATGTTTAGGCCGTTATATTGTAACTGATAGTAAATGCCTCGGATACGGTGGCTGATATGGACAAAACAAGACACAAAAAACGGAACAGAATCACAAAACGTCAAAAAACGACAAAAAAACTAAAAACAGAATCGCCAAAATTAACACCGAAACACAGATTATATGGTATTTCCGTTAAAAATTCTTCTGCATGATGCTGTGTGCACGTAGCCTAGATCCACTAAGGGCGGGGGGGGTGGTACTTTGGGACTTTTTGGGTAGGGATGTGCCGCTGGGACCCTGAAACTTTTAGCCTATACCAGACCTACAATCATGGACAAAAGTCTTGGGACACTTTTGCGTTTCTGGGGCGTTTTCCAATTCTCACAAGTCCAACCCCTCCCCTCACCCCACAAACAATGTTGCACGCGTGTTCATTCAGAATTTTTTCCTCTCAACTTTGTATAGGGTGGGGGGAGTGAGAACTGCAAGACAATTCCGAAAAGTAAGCACTGTTTTAAGAGGGAACCGAGAAATGACAGAAAAATAGGAATATTGCGTACTCTCCCAAGGACAAGTTACATGTATGTAAATTATTTTTTACCGACAACGTCAGTGACCATAGTCTCTTGCAAGAGACTATAAAGGGGACAGAGAGGGCATCCCCCATATACACCCTATTTCATAGGTAATTCGTCTCGAGTTATTTTTAACACCACAGATCTCAAGGGGGATTAGACAACAGCCAATCACATAGCGCGAATGTGTTCCGCGTGGATGACTCACGCTGAGAGCCACGCGTCCTTCACGAAATGACGCAGAACAAAATGGGGGAAGACGCGGAGAGCGATTTTGCTATTCCTTTTGTCGACGAAAACGACTACAGCGAGATTTCTGCGAAAGCTGTGTCAGCGAAACCGAAATTAAAAAAGAATCGCCCTTCCTCTCTCGTATAGAGCCAACAGTAGAGCAGGGAAATCCTTAACACACTGAATATTCTCTCAGGATCATTTATCAGGATCATTTTTACAGTTTGAAGAGAGAAATTTCTGGTTTGATGTTTATTTTTTTCAGTCTTTATAGCGATTATTCCTACCCACTAACTTTGTCAATTGTAGGCGAACCCTCCTAAAGCTGAATTTCAAAGGAACCATATTCAAGCTCAGAAAGAGAAATAAAATTTCGTCGTTGCTTATTTACGTCCTCCATAAAACGCGAAATTAGGCATTTTCACGTCATAGTCGTGCAAAAACGGGAAAGAAATGAACAAAAAAGTGTGTTGCACGTGCGAAGTTGTTGTTTTGCTAATTAAACCTATTGTTTTTTTGACGTTCTAGTTGTCGTCCGCGTCGTTGGATCTTAAACTCCCTAAATTGTACAAACGACCGATTTCAATAGACCGGCGAAATTTCTCATTTTATTAAAGCACTGAGGTTACGACAACTTCGAGTTAAACTGATTTCACGGGTTGTCAAAGAGTCCAGCGATTCTTTTTCCCAGGTGAGCGCCGACTCATTTCGCTTCAATATTCAGGAATGCTCTCGATCTTTTTACGCTTTCATTGCCTCTCCCCCGACATGTTTTGCACGGCGTTTGGTCATGCGAAACCTCCACGAAACATCCACGCCTCGCGCGAGGTAACTTAATCCCGATTCTAAAAATAACTCGAGACGAATTACCTATGGAATAGGGTGTATATGGGGGATGCCCTCTCTGTCCCCTTTATAGTCTCTTGTCAGTAAAGCTATACGTTTTTGAAGCCGAAGATTGATAGCCTGTGTACATACCCCCCCTCCCTTCCGATTTTATTGAAGGGAGGGGGTCTGTACACAGGCTAAAAATTGATTTCAGCATTTTTGAAAAATTCCATAAGAATTTCCTTAGAATTCTTAGAGAAATCAACGTAAAGTAATCGGCTAAAAGATAATTCTCGTGAAATCCTAGCCCAGGACTGTGTGGAGAAATTTCGCCGAGGTAAATCTTGCTTTTTCAGGGTAATTTTCGACGGTTTTGTATTCATTTTATTTCATGAATTTATTAAATAGTATTTCCATCCTGTTTTTGTTCTGTTTTTATGCTCTTTCGGCCGATTTTTGTACTGTTTTTAGACAACTCTAGGGCTATTTTCTTACAATTTTATACTGTTTTAATTTGCATTTTTGCATCTTATTTTTGATGTATTTTCGTAATATATGCGTGCTATTGCTTTTCTTCTTCTGTAGTATTTTAATACTATTTTTCAAAGTATTTTTATTGTATTTGCAAATACGATTATTTTACTAAATTTCGAAACTGATTAAACAGCCATTAAAATATATTTTGAAGCGCAATATTTTAATTATAGCGTTTTAAACAGGTTAAAACACCTTTAAAATCAGTCGAAAAATATATTAAAATATATTTTTGTACCTATTTTCAACCTGTTTTTTTTTCAAAATACGTTTAAAATTGCCATTAAAAATAGTTTTAAAATAGTATAGCAAATAAAAATATGTTTTTTGAAACTGTCTTTATCCTGTTTTTATTCCAGTTTATGAGGTATTTGAAAACTATTTTGGACCTGTTTTGAGCCTTGCCCTTGAATTTTTTATATATTTTAAACGAATTTTAAAAATACTTTAAAAATTCTTTTTTAATAGCGTTTTAAACAGGTTAAAACACCTTTAAAAACAGTCGAAAAATACACTTTTCAATCTATTTAAAACCTATTTCACAAAACAGGTTAAAAACAGTTGTCAAAAATGGCTTAAAAATACATTCAAAACAGTGTTGGATTTTGTAAGGGGTTAAGACTAGCCTAAATTGCCTTCACAATTTCAACTATGAGAAACGACATTATATCAAGTCTGGCGATGAAAAGGATGTGTTGCATCTTGTTCTAGGACTTGGACAGAGTGATGGCTAAATATAAGACGTCATATCAAATTGGCACCAAGTCCACAACATCTGAAGCGAGAAAAAGGAAAGAGCAGAGAAGGTGAAAAGAGGAAAAGAGGAAGCTCACAGCTTGTAAAAACAAAAGAAAAAGAACATGCCTTATTTTCCGTTCCCTGGGAGGAGTCTTCCCTTGCAGCAGAGGACTTTGAGCCGGACATATTTGGTATTCTCCGCAGGACAGTTGATTATGAAACCCTACATTTGTTTACCTCAGAGACACACAAAGCATGCTTGCGCGCGACCTTTGCAGGGGAAACTGATTCGCCCAGGGAGGCCAGGAGATTGTCTGGGACTTCTGCACCTGAGGGTGAACTTACAACTGTCTTATAGGACAGAATCTAAGTACAAATGGTTTGTTTGGGACAAGTTATGTTTTTACTTGAATTTGGCCTTGTAATGGATACTAGGATTATAGACATTTCATGACACAAATCAATTCTTTTGAAAGGAAACTCTGGTAACATGTCTAAAATGTGATGACATTTTTTTACATAAACTTCACATCTTCTAAGAACATTTTCCTGTTTTACAATGCATGTAGAATTGTTCTTACAATTTAATACAAAGGTGCATGGCATAAAATGAAAGTTTGGGCCCCCCTGTAATAAGAATAATTTTAATTTGAGCCCCCCTATCTCGGCATTATTTTTACTTAGTGCCCCCCATCTGGTTTTTCAGACTTTGAGATTAAAATTTATATTACAAGAAAATACTTTAGTTATCAACTATTTATTTAGTTATTTTGTAGTATTTTTTTTTATATACACTCGTTATGGAAACAACACTAATGCATTCTGTGATCAGTTTTGTTAGAACGCAGCTGTGAATAAATCACTACTATATATCTAAGGACCAAAACCAGCTTTAATATTTATTTTTCTAGTAGTCAACAACTATTAATATAATATCTCCTACACTGAATTAAGAACCTAGTTAAGAACCTACTGAGCCTATTAAAGTTGCCAATGACTACCCCAAAACACAAGAACCATTTTTGCCAGAGTTCAAAAAATGAAGGTTCTTACACGCGGCTTCTACGGTATTTAGCCAATGTAAGCCAAGCAGAAAATAAGAAACAACATCATGATCTTTTTTATATGAAATGGAATTTTGCGCCCTTATTAAATTTAAACAAAAGGAGAAATTCAATGCAAATACAAATATCATGTAGGTATTTTTTGCTCCGAATTTTTTTATTTTCATTGCATTGAGTTTTATGTTAAAAGCCACGCGCTAGTGTAGTTATTTAGTTTTTTCTCTCCTAAAAATTCACAAAATCCCACTTACCAAAGTTTAGTCCGGTCTGATATTCTTGGTCATTGTTTTAAGTACCATTATTCAAAAAAAAAAAAAAAAAAAAACACGAATAAAAGAACGGTTGTCACGATCAGCTGATGTTGACATGAGCAGCCACGTGGATGATGAGTGTAGACAAAACAAATCTACGAATACGAATGTAAGGAAAGGAGGCAAAGAGAGCGCGTAATACCCTCTTGACGGTACAGGCTCAATTTTTCGTTGTTCATAACAGTCTCCTACAAGTTTCTTTCAACAAAATCCCCTCGGGACAGATTGCCGCTATTTTTTCTCGGAAAAATATTCAAACATTTCCACTTTCTTCAAAATTTTCGTTGTAAACAAGATGGCGGATGATGTTTTGGCAGAGAAAGTGTTCAATTATATCTGCGGTAGTGGCGGTTTTGTTGAATTACATGTTCTTTTAAAACATTCCTCGCCTTTGGGAAGTAGGAAATCAAAGGGAAAAGCGAAAAACTGGCTAATGAATCAACCTGATAGGCGTTTAGTCGTCGTGAAAGATTTCAATGGCGAGATAGCAGGTGTGCGAATTGATTTAAGAAGAAAAATATGTCGGCAATATCACGACCAAGGTTCTTGTGGAAGTGCTCAGGGGAAGTGTAACTTCTGGCATATTTGTAAAGGATTCATCGAAGAAAATTGCCATGGCAAATGCAACCGCTCGCACAACTTTTTTGACCCAGAAAACAAAGAGAAAACAAAAGAATTGGGGCTGGCTAAATATCCGAACGGGACTTTAAAACATATTGTTGCGTGGAGCCTGCCACAGGTTTGTGAGCTGTATACAAGAGGCAAATGTACGTCGGATTCATGCTTATACCTTCATCTTTGTTCTCAAGCTGTCCGAAGTTCAGCGTGTTCTTGTTCTTTGTCACATGACCTCACGGATTCTCACAACATGAAGATTATGAAACAGTATGATCTGGTACCTCATCAGTCAATGTCAACAGATTTTGTTCGGTGCAATATTTTGGTTCCGAAGAAACAGCCTATTCTTCACAAAGCTCATGATTTTTTACCAAGTGTTTGCAACGCCGGTGAAAATTTCTCTAAGAAAGCGATGGGAGTCATACAAGGTCCAAAAAAACAATCGCCGGAAGTGTCCACACCATCCAGACTCGAAACCACAAAATCTCCGTTTAATGAGAAACAAAGCTCGTACAATAATTCTAAAGAATTCGATGCTGCATGCAGTTTTCAGGACGGAACTGAATTTGAGAAGAAGAATTGCTCGTCAAATCTTTTGCAAGAGAAGACAACCAAGTCGGGAGCACCAATCTGTAAGCAAACTGATCGTATTAACAATTTAACCAGTAATGCAGTATCACCTTCTTCTGAGAGTAGGCTTGAGTTGTCAAATATTCAAACTGGAGACGATTCTGATTCGTCCTTTGATGAAAACGAACCTGCAAATAGAAACACCAAAGTCGTTGGATCTAAATATGATAAGAAAAATTCGGTTGATGCCATGAAAGGTGGTGGTTTAAAACAGAATCCTATAAACAAAATGAAAAACGAATTGGATGGAAATGATTCGATGAAATGGGAACAAGGATCTTTGGTTGACAGTTCAAGAAAGGATCCAAATATTGACCAATCGCAAAAGAAAAAAAGCAGAAAGTCTGTGACTAAAGAGCAACAAACCAAGGCAAAGACTCAAGAGGTGGGAAAAAATGCAGCCTGTATGAAGGGGTTGAGTACACAACAACCGAAAAGTTTGGAGGCGTCACGTGACACAAAAGACGGTCAACGCCAACATGAATCCAACAGAGCCTCGGAAAGTGCCAATAAAGGGCGGTTTGTGGAGGCCTGGTTGACAAGCCGCGATTTCGTTGTTGAGTCTACTTTCAGTTGCACTGATTCGCACAGGCTACCAACCTCACAAGAGGTGGAATCTGGGCGTCAACGAAAGTTGTCTGTTTCCAGTTCTTGCAGCTCTGTTCAAGACTCGCGTAAATTTTCGCCCTCCAAAAAGGCTGTTTTCGATTGCATTGTGAAAGAATACAATGGCACGGTGTCCTTTGATGTCATTTCAAAACGACAAGATTTGTTTCCCAACGGTTGTGGGGACATTGCCAAGTGGTTTGGAGCAAGATCAAAAGAAAGCTTTTTAATCAGAGAAAAGGAAGGAATCATTTACGAGGTTAGTGCCTTCTGTCGAAAGGCAAGGTTTTGTTTCAAGGAAAAGTGTTCTCAGAAAGATTGTCAGTACTTCCACGTGTGCAGGGAGTACATCGCTGGCTTCTGCAGGCGTGGTATTGAATGCCAAAGAAATCACTGTTTTCAGTACGATCAAGATAGAAAGTTCATTTCAAAACTCAAGTTGGATGGCTTCACAGAAGAACAACTCCGAAATGTGTTTCAGCTTTCAACGCCTCAAGTATGTCTGGATTATAACAATTTTGGAATTTGCACCAACGGTTTGTCTTGCAACCAAGTACATATTTGCAAGGATTTTATCAAGAAGAGATGCTTCGATGAGGAAGACTGTATTCTTCTACACGAAAGCGCGTTTGCCGAAGCTCACACCACTGCAGTACTTCAAAACTATGGCATGAGAGTCAGTGGAGACAACTTCAATTCAGTGCTTCGCACGCTTTTGGTATGCCAGGAGAACATTTCCAGTGGTTTGAAAGACCCCAAGGGCAATATTACTGCAAAGGGCGTGGCCACTAAAGGGAGCAAGGGAGTTCAGCGCATGTCATCGATAGTGGGCGTGGCTGCGAGTGCCCCTGCTCAGCCGGCTGAGGTTAAAGTCTTCGAATGCCTTTGCAACGAGTACGATTGCTCAGCTTCTTTTTCGGTGATTTCCAAACGAACAGATTTGTTCCCGTCTGAATTTAAGGATGTAGAAGCTTGGTTTCGAAGCAAAAAAGGGAGTTTTCTCATTACAGAAGATGATCACGGAAAGATAACCAAAGTGGACGCTTTCTCTACAAAAGCACGTTTATGTCTAAGTTACAACAACTCTCATCATGAGGAGTGCACTAGAGATAACTGTTCGTACTTGCACGTCTGTAGAGAGTACATAACCGATTCCTGTAACAACGGAGCAACGTGCCCGCGGAATCATAACTTCCACGATGAAAGGGAAAGAGCTCTGTTGTCGAAGATTAAGCTTGATAAGTTGACAGATGAGCAACTCAGGAAGCTAGTGCTTTCATCCAGTCCCCAAATCTGTGTAGAGTACAACAACGGTTCGTGTGATCTTGGTGAGTCGTGTTCTAAAATACACATGTGTAGAGAACATTTGAAAAAGTGCTTTAGAAGGGGATATGGCTGTGACTTACTTCATGAAGAAGCGATGAACATTGAACACACCCAAGCAATTCTTGAACGTTTTCAGCTTGGACACCATAAATCAGACCTGGTAAAGAAAATTATTCTTGTTTGTGAGCAGCGCAAGAAGTCCGCATGTTCCAAAGAAAAAACTACAGGTAAGTAATGTAAAATTCTGTCATCCCTGCGACATCCCTAGTTTTCGTTTTAACAAGCATTTTTCGTGGTTCCAACGTATAATGCTAAAAACGTAGTCTACAAGGTCCACAGTTAGGTAGTTTAATGCTGCGGTTTTCGAAACCCGAGGTACAAGAAGCCTTACTTATTAAATTACTTTGTCAAACGATAAGCTTGAAGATCATGATTTTAGCGGAAAGGGAAAGGTTAGCTTTAGATATAACACTATGAAAGTGTTTTAAAGGAGGGAAGCTGCCAATGAAAGACGGAGAGCTAAGGCGGGTGTTAAAAACGTTCTACCCTGGCCGAGGGTTTAGAAAAAGTGGACTTTCCGTGACCGTTAAGACGGAAAACCAGTCTGACCAAAGATAAAGTAAAAATGAATGAATATAAATATAAATAAAAAGTTCTTATCATATATATAAAATTAATACTGCATGATAATGCCTCAATGGTAAGTGGAACAAATTTTAATCATTTCTGAACGAGCCTTCATTTTTGTCTTTTTTACTCAAGGCATTCTGACAGGACATATTCTCGTAAACGAGCCAGATGCACCCATTTGCGCAGAGTTTATTGTTAGCAAATGTAAGAATGGTTCTAAGTGTACAGGTCATCACTGCTCTTTGCCTTACCATTGGCAATATAGCAATGCAGGTGAATGGAAGAGTTTTAATGAGAAAGACAACGAGAAGCTAGAAACACTGTATTGCGACGTGACACTTGAGGAATGTTCTGCTACAGGCATGCAAATATCATTTGAAAGGTATGTTACAGTAATTATACACTGAGAGTCTTGTCAAATTCATGGATTTTTACTCATTTACAGTTATAATAAGTGTTCAAAGTTCGGTAGACATACTTCAGCCCAAGTCTAATGTATGAGAAAAGATAAAGGAGTATGGCAAAATGCAAAGGCTAAAGACAAATGAACCAGAACATTAACATTTTATGGTATAATGCATTTTTTTAAACATGAATTACAGGTTGACATTATTATCATTTTAATATTCATATTTAAGCTATGGATTTTTATTCTTGGACGAGATGTGTCAAGTCGATATATTCCTCGATAATAAGCTGCTGATTACACAAGAATATGTTGAAAGGCTCATGCAACTGCGACGCCTATCTACGGAATCTGACGTCAACTCAAGCAACCCTCTAGCTACGGAGTGGATATGGTACTGGCAAGACGAAAATGGATTCTGGAGGATGTATGACCAAGACCACACTGTGAGTAAATAGTGGGGGAAATCATGATACCTCAGTTGTAAGTAGCCTTAGTCCTTCAAGGAAAGCGGTAAGATGGGTGAGGGTCGGCTAGGGCCCACTTTCGGTTGAAGATTTAACGGATGGCTTGTGGTGAGCTCCCGAAGGTGATTTAACCATTGTGGGATATGGAAGCTGCTCTAGGGGATCTGCAATGTCATTCAGTTCGTTTGGGAGAATGAAGAAAGGAAATCACTTCTCCCACGGTAGACAAAAAAGGGACAAACCTTTTGTACGTCTACGAATTAAGTCGTTGCGTATTGATGGTTCTGAGATTCAAATGAGTCTCCAAACCAGTAAGAGATTTCAAAGAGTTTTATCGTGAAAAGCCCGAGGTAAGCTTGTTAACTCTTTTAGTCAAATCGAAATCTTAAATTATATAAATATGATTGACTTAGTCTGAAAATTATTGAAAAGTGAATGGAAACACTTGTGACAGGTTTCATTTATATCAGGTCACATTCCCGACAGGATAAAAAGCATATTGCCACAGTCCTCCATGGGGGTGAAATCTTTACTTTAACATTGTATATGGCTGAAGTCTCAGAGTAATCGGGCAGAACCCCCGATTAAGAGCTGGACTTGCTGGATATGTGATTGGTATATTAGGCCAACACAACAAACATTCCAAGTAATATACAGAGCGCGCTTTTTAATTTGGTGCATCAGTAAAATTCTTTTTTGAGTAGTGTATGGTATCTTGTCTCGACAAGTAACCTTTTTGTTCATAGGGAAACGATCTTCAAGAATCCCTAGAGAGAGCGTACTTGAACAAGAAAAACGATTTTAAGTTTCGGATTGCAGACCAGGATTACATTTTAAATTTTAACCCATCAAGTGACATGAGCCAGACAAACGTCAAGTACGGCACGACGAAAAAAGTGAGAAGAAGGCCTGGAAAATTTGTGTCTAAGGATGACATTTCTCAGCTTAAAAGGTATTTGTGTTGTAGAATTAATTAATGACAAGAACTTTATCCCTTTCCACCGATATGATGGGCAAGTTTCTTTATTTCAAAATAATTAGCATAAAATCTTACATCATGTTTTCACTGTGAAATTATGGTGACCATGCAAAAGAAATGTTTTGATAAAGCTCTGTTTTTAAGATAAAAACTAGGTACCCAGCAAGACAATGATTTATGTATAATTTGACCACAAGTGTGGTCGTTCATTTGCATTACGATCAGTCACAAAAAGATGTCACATGATGGGCCATGATGTGATGTCTAATCTGTTGGAAGCTGGTCATTGATACCTGAAGCGTGTTTCCTGTGAAAATTACCTCAAAGTGCTTTTACTGTTAAGGTAAATGGTGGATACCTGTTTGGAGCCCACAGACAGCCCCCGTGGGCTAATCTGATGGATCTACAGAGGAAAACTTAATATGTAAGCATTTAAGTGAAACATCGGGTAATAATTCTTTCACAGAGAACAATCAGTTGCTCATTTGCTTACTATATTTTCACTGAATTATGCGTTGGAACATTCTTAGGAGAATAAACTGCAAAACAATGTGCCACTGCATTGGAGCAGTGTAAAAGTGCAGACTGCGGACTGACTGCGGACTATTGTTCTTAGGGCTAGAAAACAATGGGACTATTGTTCTCTTGTTCACATTAGCATGGTGAAAAAAATAGTCCGCAGTCTGCGTTTTACACTGACCGCACTGCATTACCATCTTTTTCATAGGTCTCAGAACGCAGTGAGTGTCCTGCAAAGGAGAAATACAAGAGTCACTAATACGCCAAATCATTGGTCTTCCATGCAATCCAAGAGGCAATATCAACGTGTGTCGTTATCAAGACTTTCTGAAGAATTTAAAGAAGTGGAGAAACTCTTCAAAAAGTCCATCAAACGAAGTGTGGTAATTGTTGGAATTGAACGAGTGCAAAACCCTTTCATGTGGGAAAAGTACCAAAGGTACTACTGAACAAATGCATTAAACGTAAGGCATTAAATGCTACGCCACCAATAAACGTTTCCGTCGCTTATTACAACCCTAGAGGTGTGAAGAAACTCTTATTGTCCCTAAAACACAGCGAAAGACAATATCAAAACATAAGGATCACGAGGGCTTTAATTGAGTGCCCCACCGAATTTCGCGAGGGTGCGTGAGGCACGTTTTTCTAGTATGGGCTAGTTCTTAGTGGTAAATAGTGTTTTTCAATCAATACTTCTTTATTTGAAGGGAGATGGGGTAGTGGGGGCTTATTTAAAAGGCGCGGGCTTAATAGATTATTAATGGTATTTAATTACCCTCGGTTCTTTTTAAACAGCTTAAAAAAATTTTCCCAAAATTACGATGTACTTAATAGTTAGGTTTTTTTTTATATTTGTATATGCATAATTCACATTTTATCATCTCGTTTTGTATTTTTAGTTTGTCGAACGTTTTTAACATGAGCCTCTGGCTCTGAAGATTATACAAAAACTTCTTACGTCTTCGACATTAAATAAATTATTCTATTCTATTCTACCCTCATATACTGTAACTGTACCCATCTTAGTCTTATTTACGCGGGTTGCGCGAGGGTCTTTCTCACTTCCACTCGTTTCTTACAGTAAGCTTCTTTCAAGCCCTCTCTTCCCCTTCTCAAGAACACTTCAGAGGCAGAGGAATTGTCTGAGAAAGAGATCGATAGCTTACAAATTAGGTTGAATTTTATGACATCATGCAGTGCGCGTATTTTCGTGATTGAAAAACATACATGCGCGACCTTCAGTTGTTAATCCTCTTTTACAGTTCTTTATTATTTTTTATCATGACTCAATATTAAAGCGAATGATAAAATTTCAATATTAAAGCGAATGATAGAATTTCAATATTAAAGCGAATGATAGAATTTCAAGGCCAAAAACAAAAGTTGACTTTGATTACTGTATTTTATTCAGGAAAAAGGAAAACATGGCAGCAGCGAGGATTGGCTCTACCAAGGGACGGTTTGTTAAGGAGAGGCAATTGTTTCATGGAACTAACCCTGAAATCGTAGAAGCTATCTGTAAACAGAACTTTGACTGGCGTCTTCATGGGAAAAACGCAACTGTTTACGGAGAAGGAAGCTATTTTGCATTAAACTCCTCGTACAGCGATAGTTACGCCAAGGAAGATACCAAAGGGTCTAAGTTCATGTTCGTCGCCAAGGTCCTCGTTGGGTCTTACACAAAGGGCCAGTCCAGTTATCGAAGGCCACCGTCAAAGGAGCCTTCGAATCCCGCAAGTGATCTGTACGATTCCTGCGTTGATGACAGGTCATCTCCAACCATCTTCGTAGTTTTTGATACTGATCAGTTCTACCCGGAGTACATAATCGAGTACACCACAGCTCGAGGCGGTCATCGGCAGCCTGCGGGACCCGCGAGACCTGTGGCAAGAGCACCAGCTCCAACGCCTAGACACTCACCAGCTGCAAAGGGAGTGGCAACTAAAGTGCATTACAACGTTAGCAGCCCATCCACCAGTTATCAGACGACCACAACCTCGAGTGTGCGTTCGCGGGTTCAAGCACCTTATTCAGGTGTATCTGGTACAGGCGGTTACACTTCCACAACCAATTCAACGTCTGCAAATTATTATCATTCACCCATAGCAAGAGTGAGTGCATCAATCCAAAATCAGTCTCCTCCTACGGCTTCAACTTCTACTTCATACGCGTACTCTGGCGGGTCAAGCAATCATTCGGTTTCACCTTCCTTATCTCGGTCATCCAGTCCAGCCCACAAGCCCAAAAAGAACAAGGGTTCTTCTAAAAAAAACAAATGCTTAGTTATGTGATTTCTTCCATTGTTTTTGTTGATTTTGTTGCGTTGAAAGAAGAAGAAAGTTTTGAAAACTATCGTGACAAATGTTAAATTAAATTGTAACACCCAAAACTAATGCATGAACGCAAGGTTGTAGACTAGGGAAATGTTTAGGCAGTTAATTATAAGCTCATACACTATGAACGTTCTAAATTAGAAGAAGCAAAGTTAAACTAACTTTTCCTCGGAGAGGATGATCCAGAAGGGACTCAGTGTTACATATTATCTTGAAAAGCAGTAATGTATATTGTTATAAGATTAAGGTACGAAACTAAATTAACTGAAAAGTATAGGAGTGAAGGGGTAAATGTACTTTTATTAAATGACTATAATGCGTTTAGCGAATGCTTATTTATGACTGATCATATCGTAGAAATGTCACCAGTTGAAGTCCCAGATATTTTGCTTTGACCAGGAAAGCTGATTTTGTTTTTTTTATTCTGTTTAATTTTTCGCTGACGAGAGGTCGGTCACACTTTGGGGTTCGGCTCCAAAGAAAATGAGTGAGCGGTCACAACTGTAAAATAGAGGGGTCAAAATAAATTCTCTTGCGGCGAAAAAGCTGCCTTGCAGGCCTTTCTAGCCTTTCTAGACTGGCTGGGAAATCAAATGCTAATGCATGATCAGTATCAAAATAGCTGGGATTAGTCTCTGCTCGCCGAGCTTTCTTTGAGTTCGCCGCGCAGTGAGGTGAGTTTGAAGTTTCGAGCAAAACAAGAGAAAGAAATAAAGAAATAAGTAAAAAAGGAAAAGAATCAGTTTCTCTAAGCACTTTTTCCACTACTACAAAATAGGCGCATTCATATTTAAAAATGTACCCGGAACGTGCCAACAGCTTTAAATCAGAGTCGGTTAGTGTTAAACCTATTCAGACAGTCCAGACTTTAAAATTGAATACCTTCAAGCTTTACAAAACATGAAATATGAAGTGACCAAATGGCAGATGCTGGTTCACTTTTCAAAAGTGTTCATTTCTCTCGGAATTTCATAGCTTGCAAATTTTTTCGTCTTAAGCATCCTTTTATACACGGATCAAATTTTATATCACGATTACCTCGATTTATACACCGGTTTTAAGCAAAATGGAATGTAGTTAATTTATTAAAAATGGCAGATCCAAGATGGTGGATGGTTCCAATTCCTTCATCAATTCCGTCATCATGACGTCACTGTTATCTTTTAAAGATTATCAATGTGATAGCTAATTTTATCAGAAGCCGTACTATTTACTTATTTTTCGCTTTATGGCTACTTTAAGGAGAAAATTGATGAAACTTGGTTCTGCCAATAAAATTTGTATCTGTTGGGTTATCCTAGGGGAACTTGAGTCTTTTCGAATTTACAAGGGCTTCAGTAATATTTTCCCGAAAATTTTAGACGCAATAACTTATTACGTAAGTTATAATTTTCTGATTCCTCTTTCCATCACATTTTTGAATCCGAAAAGGTTACTAGGTTTCCTTTTTTTCTATGAACAATAACCCAGCCTGGGGAGTTATTTATTAAAAAAGGAACAAAAACGGAAACTGTAACAGTATTGACATTGTCACTTACATTACAATTCGTTGATGGCGTAGATAGGGGGGCGTTAGGCATACATGGTTCAAATAAATTTTAAGAATGGCGCTTATCAGGACGGGGGCGCATATTAACACTGAAAACACATTCGAAAGGGTACGCTTATTGGAAAGCGGGCGCTATATCGAATCATTACGGTACCTGTTGATGGTTCGAAAAGCAAATTTGTATGAAGTACACTGTATTAACTCTAGACTCAGCCGTGAAATTCTTCGGTGACCCTGTGGTGTTAAGTTCGATCATTTCTTCTCGGTCAATCCAAAAAACTATAATTATGAAACAAATTTGCAGGTTCCCTTCTCGGAGCAACTGTCGGAGACACCACTGGAGTCCCGACTACGATTCAAAAACGCAGTTGGTTCCAGGCTTCCACCTTTCCACTTCCACTTGCATTGTTTTCCCTGGTCTTAGGTTGGAAAGTCGGTTTCAGCGAAGGAGAAGACTGCCGAGCAGAGGGGAAGTGTGTAGCAATAAGGGTGACTAATTGTGGCCTTCCGCCCGCATTCATTTCTTGAAGCAGATTCCCCTGCAACGCCTCTTTTCTTAAGGCTGGTTTTCACTAGCCACAGGGTCGGAGTCGGAGTCGTAAGCGAAGTCGTAAGAGCGCTTATGATCTAGTGAAAATCAAAAATCGGAGTCGTAAGTGGAGTCTTAAGCGCGACGGAATCGGAGTCAGAAGAAGCAGAACGTTTCCATTTCTTCCGACTCCGCTTACGACTCCGTCGCTTACGTTCCGCTTATGATCTTGTGAAACCAGATTGTAAGAGTCGGAAGCGGAGCGGAAAGATAAACCAATCACAATGCATGTTTCCATGCGTACGCTTTGTGATTGGTTTAGTTCTTCTGCTTCTGCTTCGACCTCCGACAATGTGATTTTCACTAGATCATAAGCTCTACGCTTCTGATTACGACTCCGACTCTTTTGCAAGTGAAAACCAGCCTTTAATTCGAGCTTGGAAGTTATTTCCATGAAGACATCTCGTGACAACAAGATGGCGGATGATCAGGATGATTTTTTGTTTCAGAAAGTCCACAATTTTATTCTCCTTAGCGGCGGTTTTGTTGAATTATCAGTTCTTTTCAGGTGTCCTGCACCGCTGGGGAGCAGAAAATCTGCGCCGGAATCGAGGAAGTGGCTGAAGAGTCGGACTGAATTCGTCTTTGTGAAAGATCACAATGGCGAAGAGAAAGGTGTGCGAATCAATTTGAGAAAGAAAATCTGCCAGCAGTATGCTGTGAAAGGCTCATGTCGGCGGAATCAGAACAAGTGCAAACACTTGCATATCTGTAAAAGCTTCATCGAAGATGACTGCAATAATGGAGCTTGGAAGTAAAAGGACAGTGCATTGCTTGACGTTTATATAAACGCAGACTGAGTCGATGTTTTGCTCTTTGTCCTTCCCACACAACTAGTGCAGAGAAGTAACGGAAGTCAGGTAAACATACAATGAAATGTAGGTGAAGGTAAACTGATGATGACTAATGCTGACGCATACATGTTATATGGTACTCAAAAGGAACGTCTTTTGACTTTCCCTTGTCTCATAGTTGACTTTAACCGTTCTTCCGCTACGAGTAGTAACTGCTCGTAGAAAACATTTCATCCTTTTTGTCGCCGTTGTTTATCGCATAAGCTTTGCTCCCTTCTACGGACTTTTCTTACCGACAGAGTTTTTTTTTTATTTCAATCGACGATCCTAGACCACGCTTTTCGGAATCAGCTTTCAAACCAGTGTACTCAATGATGTGGCGCTTCAAGGGATGAATGCTTACTGTTTATGGGTATTCGAATTCTTTCTTTACCACCAAGAAAACGCATGGTTCCCACAGATTTGGGATATACATAATACCGTAAAAGTCCGAATATAAGCCCCGGGGCTTATATTTTTCAAAGGCCCTTTTTGAAGGGCTTATTTTTGGAGGGGTTTATATTCGGAGGAGCTTATCTACGGGGGGAAATTTGCGTTTCAAAATCGATTGGGCTGGCCTTATAGTTGGAAGTAAATTTACTGTTTTTGCTTTGTTTTACTTTGTATTTGAGGGCCATTTCCAAGTACAAGTCCCCGAGGGGCTTATATTTGGAGGGGCTTATACGTGGAGGGGCTTATTTTCGGAATTTTACGGTATATTACTCCTTCCAATAAAATTGAACAGGGAGATAAAATGACAGTTTGAGTCCCCTTTTGGTACTTGTCTTGAAAAATTTCGGGAATGTTGATTGTGTACTGGCCAATCACAATAAAGTTCAGGACACGCGAGCAAACCTCAAAACCACAAACTTAATTATTACCGTTGCTGTTTGCGGTTTCGTTATCTCGCGCCTCATTGGTTTATTTCTCGCAACACAATAGCATTCCATAAATATTTCTGGTGTTCACGGTTTTGAGAGTTTCACAGTAAAAACTGTCGGTCATTGCAACTAAGATCCCCCACGCAAACCCCCCATGTGTTAGCTCCACGAAAATAAGAGTTGAATTATGATTGGTTGAAAAATGCTGACTCACCAGCTCAAGGAAATCGTTTCCCAGCTCCGGTGCAGACGCTCTTTTCTCGCGGGTGCCGCAAGAACCGAAAAAGTTGTCTGGTCATAATTTAGGACGTTTAGGACGACATATATGGGAACGACTGTAAGAGCGGTTTTTAAAACAAAGCCAAACTTAGACCGCGGTTTAAGAAATCATTGGGCCTCCAGATCTCTTTCTAAGTGGGTTATTTTAAGAAAATAAATGTTTCACCAGTCTACCCTGTTGCTGCCATGAAACGTTCACGATAACCGGTGTTTAGATAAAAGCGTTGATCGGAGAAACTGATTGAAAGTCTGTTTTTGTTAAACATTGGCCAAACTCCGTTTAAATAACCGGCCTTTAAGCGTTTTAAAACCTTTTAAAAATGTTTATTTGAAGGTCCACTGGCTTCACTGTAAAATTTGTCTTCAGCTGAAACTCTTTTTTCACGAAAACAATTAGTTGAAAATCACGAATATCGGATAAAAGATTTTAAGGTTCACGTATCACGACAAGCAAACCATTCACAGTTCACGGATTTTAATTTCGTATTTTAACCTTTCACGAAAATTGAAAGCACTTAATTAATCCCGTATCACGCAATAACCCCTTTCATCTTGTTTAGTTCCAGCAAGAGAGGATCTGGGCACCGAACAAACACAAGAAACAACAACAAAACATTGTGCGTGGAGTTTGTTTTCATTGAAAATTGACCACAGATTTATTATTCTTCATTTTTTCTGAAAAAATTAAAAGTTAAGATACAGATTTTCTTTTGTTTTTTTTTTTCATTATTATTCTCTGTCCAGCAAAAAAAATGAAAATCGAACGTAGGTTTTCACATTTCTGAAAAAACAAAAAAACAAAAACTGAACATAGATTTTCATTTTTC